AATATTCATAGAAAAGATAAGTCAAACGAGCCTTCCAAAAAAGTATTGTAAAATAATATAAAAAAATTTTTATCAATTGTGTAACAATTTATGACATTCAACGTTTCCTCCTGTTATTTCCAGTTACATAATATAAATTATTGTATATGAACCTGGATTTAATTATATATAAAATCTAGATTTAATGATACTCCATAAACATCTACTCTTATCCTAACATAAATACCTAATAAAACTTCAAGTTAAACTTTGATATGATGCAGATTAATCTGATGCAAAGCATTATTGATTTTTGTCTATCAAATTAACTATGATTCTATTGTTGATAAATAAAAGAGCGAATTGGAGTTTGAACTGGTTTTATTTTTTTATTTTAATCAGTTTTTATATGTGAAAATAAACTAAATATTATTATGTATAAATTTATTCTTTCCCGAAGCAGGGCGAGGGTTAAGAAGCTAGTATTAAAATATATTCGATTACTCAACCATATAATTGATTAATTGATTAATCAACAATAATCAATTTTTTGGGTAGTTTCAAGAAGCGTGAACCTAGTGATATCTTCGTGATCATCACATCACATGATTAAACACTCGGGGTCAGTGTTAGGGTTAGGTGATAGTATAGTTTAGGCCAGGCCAAATCTGTTAGTGCTAGTAAACAAATGACGTCATTCCAAGATTTCACATGATGTGATGACCACGTTCTTTAAGTGCCCCAATTATGGTTTAATATTTTGACTATAGCTAGTCCATCCGTTATGTAAATTACGCAAAATAATACAAATTTTTTTTGTTTTGCTGCATTATTTATTTATGTTAAATAGTAGTCATAAAAAGACATCAAGAATAAATGAAATAAAGCAGTACATTTTCGGATATTACATAAATCATGATATATGAATGTTATTTTGCTATAAAAATAAATAAATATGGTATGTTATATGTATATGTAAAAATAATTTCAAATGTTATCTGGCCTTATAAATTTCACTTAATTAACATTCAATAATCTTTCACTCTCTTCTGCTTCTTCATCATAATCATCAAGAGATATATAACTATGCGGTCTAATTGTTGAATAAACAAATCCAAGCCCTAGTATAATTAAAAATGCCCATTGCGCATAGTAAAACACCACACCAAAGAATGGGGTGTTGAGCGTAATACGATGAATAAATGTTGATATCGCTGTAGGAGTGCAAATATCTGATTATAGCAAAAGAGTATAAGAGTATTGTTAACAAATTTCATATATTATACAACGTGAAAATAAGAAAATACAAAATTTACCTGTTGGTCCTTCAATATCACAAGGAATAATCAAACTTGGATAATCACTACAATCCGTAACATTATCGACAGTATGATTACACTAAAGAGGAAAAACAAATAATAATAATAATAAGCATGTTGTAATAAAATTATAGAAATTAATTAATTATTTTTTTTGCTTACGTATTTCTGACTTCCGAACTGCGCGTACTGCGGAGCAACGACCATTGTTAATGTATAGTTTAACGCTAATAAACTCAACATTAACAACAAGGAAGTCAAAAGCAGTCCTTGTGGTGGTGTGGCATTTTTGCGAATTTTATAAAGTGTAATCCATAAAAATCGAACTCCTATAAATACAACACCAGCTACACTGCCAAGGAAGAAGTAAAGGATAAGCAAAACCATAAACAAGTAGTCAATGGGAAAATACTTGAAAAAAAAAAAAAAAGATTTAAAAGGTATAAGTTAATAATAGATTAATAAAGATTTATACACGGAAAACATAGTTCATAAATATGACATACATATGATGCTTCAATAAAAATAAAGTTGAGTGGATTAAATATGTCAGGATGATTAATTATAAAGCCACAATTAGTTCCACAAATAGAATTCTTGACTTTATCAATACTAAATTCAAAAACGATAAATCACATAAAATTTAGCAATTTGAAATTCAGCATTAATCACGAACGACATAATAATTACTTACCAAGTCAAAAACATCGAAAGGAAAATTATTATAGTCAATAATAAAAACATAATGCCGCCCAAAAACTATTAATGAATAAGGTATGATAAATTATAAATTAAATTATACATAATAATATTAATGCTAAATAAATGGACATACTTCGAATGGTCTAAAAATCACAAGAATCTTGTTTAATATTCCGTTCTTATTTGCTTCATACTCTCGCAATCGTCGAATCAATATCCTAGAGAAACAAAATGAATATTGCTTAACTAAGCAAGCGAATAAACAAGAGATTATTATATGCTTACTTTTCTTCGGTGAGCAAGTTTTCCAACTGTTGTGCATCTTTCCTAGTCATTTGATTATCGGGATCTTCATATTTCGCCTTTATAACTCTTTGTTTTTCACGATTCAATCTGAGATACTCGTCAAGTTCTGCATCCGAAGGACCGGCGTCATTTGCCCCCTTAATCATTCTAATTGGAAGTAATGAGAGTCCGGGAGCCTTTCATAAAAAATATGTGAATATCAACTTACATGCAAAATTGTTGTGAAAAATATAGAAATCATGTGGACTTACGGTGTACACGATAAAAATAATCATCCCAAGTATCATAAGAATAGCTATAATGAAAGAAATACTATTCTCGCCCACTTAAAAATACGCATAAAGGTTATTCACTCAATAATAAATATAAATCTCCATGAAAATATGAATAATGACTTACGATGATCGGTCAAGAATTTTTTGAAAAAGTCCAAGTCAAGCGGGACTTTTTTCTCTTTGGGATTTAGAACGATTCCAAATGCGAAACAAATCAACAGGAAAGCCACAAAAAATCCTGTATATTTTAAGGCACTTGTAATGCGCTACATGTAAAAATATGTCAGATAGAGAACTCTTAGCACGTTAAATTAAATACTAAAGATGCAGACATTAGAACATGAAATAACATACGGCATAGCCGTAACTGGGTAACTACCCAAATTTTATATGACGTAAGTGGGTAGTTACCCTTGACCTAAGAAATGTCTGCATCTCTATTTATTACAAAGGGAAAATTCGGTACAATTCTTTATTTGGATATTTAACTGCGTAAAATTTAAATAATAATCTCGATAAGTTTACATTCCGTCGAGTCACTTCAAATATAAATACTTGCTTTTCGAATCTTTTTTATTTTCTTTTAACAACCCTACATATTGAATATACCTTTCTTCGTTCATACTTTCTGATTAAAAATACAAGATTCCTGCTGTTGTCAACAACCGCGTCTATAATAATATTCATTGATTAATATTACGCGATTGATTAATCATGTCTCTTCCACGTCAACAACGACAACGACAGCGACGAGGCTTTTATGTGACTAAGGCATGTATCAATTGTCAGCAAAAACACACAAAATGTTCTGGAGAAGCAACTTGTGAACGTTGTGCACAACATAGTCTTGAGTGTACTTTTATTGAATCGGGTAAAAAACGTGGGCCAAAGACGAATGGTAAACGCATAAAACAGATATATTTTCTTAACGGTCCTGAAAATGACTTTAATGAAACATCTATGCTATCCAATGCTGAACAAGGTCACACCTCGACTCTACCACCATCTGAATATCCACAACAACAACCAGATAGTCTTGATGAAGTAACTGTTTACTCTTATCAAGCACACACCAATAGTGGATACATTATGCAAAATAATAATCTTATAGACAACACATCCATTAATAATAATAATATTTTCTATTTATGTGAATGGTTTATTATTTGATCAAAACTTCATGCTATCATCCCACAATTAAAACATCATGTTTTTGTTATTACTGAAAGCTATTGATATGCCCTTTATTCTTATCTGCATATTATCTATTTATAGTTTAAACGAATTTACGAATAAAATATTAATTATACTAGCTTTTTATTTAAGAATACATAGCAAAAAACAATTCAGCTCTAAGAATGTATGTTGTGAATATGATTTCCATTATTATTATTATTATTTATTAGGGCACTGACATTTATTACGTAATACCCATTTGCTATAAGGGCTACCCTTCTCCCCCCACGTAAGATCTATATTATTTAGAAATCATATAATTTCTTTGTGTAACGTAAGATATTGATATAATACATGCTCACCCCACCCCCTAAAATATTACATAATAAATGTCAGAGCCCTTAGGGGGTTCAAAATTAAAATAAGAAAACCTTATTTTATTTTTTGATTTATAATTTAGCATAGTAAAGATACTATTGAAAAAATCCTACTTATTTTCAAAGTGCGTCAATTATTTGTTAATTTTGAAACTCCCCATTATTATTTACTAACTGGTTAATTAAATGAAATACAATAAATGTCTTTTTTCATATTATACTGTTGACTTTATTAAAGGTTAATTCAGACAAAAATATTTGCTATATATAACATCTATGTTGCAACTTAAATTGAAGTTTAATATTAACTTCACATGTAATTTATAATTATGACAAGTTATTGTTTAATTATTATACTCTTTTTTTGGTCATCCGGCGAAATTGTAATCTGTGCTCGTTTATGAACATGTGATAAAAACCTTAAATACCGTTAAATGTCCGGACATGACATGGAAAAATCATATTTTGATTGTAAAAAATTAAGTTTAATTAGTTAGCAAATCTATTGGTATTTATATAAAAATTTTTTACAAGATTTGCTATCAATATTACCATTATTAAGGCTATTTTTTTTATATTAAAAAAAATTTTTGGCTTCTTTTTTTAATTTGATAAAAAAACTATAATAATGATAAATTAATCAATGGATTTAACTGTAGTTACTTCAGACGGGCTATCATTTTTAAATGTTTACATAGACGAACAAGCTAAAGCTCCTTTAATTGCCAAATCAACCGTTTCAATAATTTCATTTGTTCGTTCTATAGTCTTTTTATAATTGTTGTTATAACTTAAATTAAACCTTTTAAATAAAATAATATATAAATTTTTACTTGCATTTTGTTGATTGTTTGAAATTTTTTTTCATCCAGTCAATAAATTTGTTCATATCAACCCTTTTTTATTAGTGTTTGTGTAATGTATTTATTATGATTATTCGGAACCTTCATTATATTTGTACTAAGAGATTGGAACCGCCTAAACTTTTCTAACCATTTAACCATTTGACAGTGATTACTGTTTAATTCAGCGAAATTAAGATAATCAGACCCATAGCCAATATAATTCGGCCCGATACTATGGAATTTTTATGCAGCTAAACGGTTCCAATTCTTATGTTCGAATCATAGTCATATTAGGTATGATTGGGCATCATTTTTCTTTACGTCGATACATTGAACCAGATAAAGTCACTCGTAATAAAAAAAATTTTTTTTAAATATTTTTACTCAGGTTCTCATAATGCATGCGCTTATCTAAAAAAAAAAAAAAAAAACATAGATAAAGAACTTTTCCTCCTAAAGATTTATCAGTTTTTATTATCGATAAATATATATATATATATTGTAAATTATAATTTTTATATGAATAATATAAATTGATTCTCAAATGTTAATTTTCAATATCTACTTATCGGGTTCAAAATTTTCATCACATATTGCACATAGACTTTTTTTTTAACACGTACATTAATATGTACGTGCGTACTTATAATGTAAGTTACATTTATCGATTATATTAAGTTTAATACAGATCAATAATAAAATAAATTTATATTCTTAAAATAAAACGTGTTCAACTTATTATTATACGAATATTTATTATAATACCAAATGACACGCGATATTCTTAATTTCACGCGTAAAATAGTAACAGGTAATAAGACACAAATTCAATAATACCTTCGATATTGAACCTTAATTATTTCTTTATTCATCTTATCATCGCAAAGATTATTTTATTCCTACTAGTTAAATTATCATTATATAATACAGAATGCTAAACTAATTGAAATTTGTAAAATTAAAAAAAAATGGAAATGATATTTAAATGTTCAAAAATGTTAATATTTTGTAACCATCAATCTATCAAAAATTGTAGAACCCTATATTATAATCATAAATAAATTATAGTGATGATAACCTGCTTTTTTTATGATGCAGATTCCAACAAATCGAACAAGAATTTTTTTTCTAATTCACAAGTTTCTTGATAACAATTTGGAGTATGACATCTTGTTAGACTGGGTGTCTCATTCACAAACGACATAGAAATGATGTTTTTTTTTTCTATTTAAAATGACGCAAAGGAAAAAATAATTACAAAGAAAACAGGATGTTATATAAGTTCTAACAACCAATGGAATACTTTTGGCAAAAAGTTTTTTTCAATCTGATCATGAAAATATTCATTTTTACAAATAAAAATAAAATAAAAAAATAGAAAATATAGATAAATTTGTTTTTATATAGCTACATGGAATTGATAATAATTATATAATTGAATGCACGTTTGTCTTTGTTTTTCTTTTTTTCCTAATATAATGAAGAATGCTTTATAATGAATAATGCTTTATAATGAAGAATGCTTTAAAATGACGCTGTAAAATTTTCTTTTACTTGCCAATGGTATTAAAATTTTTTAAAAAATAATACTTCTTGTAAAAACATTATAGGCAGTGTTGGCAATTTTTATCGGCCAAACATTTTTGGCCAGCCAAAAAACAGCCAATTCGGCCAAGATCATATGTTTTTTTTTGGCCAAATTGGCCAAATAAATTTGGGTTGGCCGGTAAAATTGACAACACTGATTATAAAAAAAATTCGAAATAACCCTATCATTTCCTCTGCATTCAAACATAAAGAAATCTTTGACATTGATCATTTTGAGAGCTTTTTAAGAGCTTGATCTAATTGTAGGACTTGTTGAAGGTATAGCGATTGGATTTGTAACAGTGTTTAATGGTTTGAAGCCAAGTTCGATTCCATCGGTGAATTTTTTTCCCCGTGCTGCCATCTCTGTTGGTTCTTTTGTTATTGGCATACCATCAATACAATTACCAGGAAAATATGCTGAAAAGCTCTCAATGAAGTAATAAGATTGTTGAAAAGTACGACTAGTGTTGACAGCATTAGGTTTGATAGAAGAACAATTTGAGCTGCTATTAACGAGAAGTCAATGTCATAACGGTAATCCATAGATGTTTTTATGGTTACTGAGTTGATTATGGATTCATGATAGGTGGGGAACAAACAGATGAATCAACTTCAAATTTCCTTGCGTGATTAGCCGGTGTTGACCATTTAAAGAAAGTGGAAGGTGATGATTTTCAATTTATTGTACTTGTTAATGATACAGATTTTGATAATGAAATCCTTTCTTTTAAAGTTGATATTTTGATTCGTTATTGCTATTCCAATAATCACGATCGCTAACTTTATATTGAACTGTGAAATATATAGTTTTGCCATCAATTTGATTATCGATTAGGTCTATAGTAAAGACAAACAGATCAAAACTATTCTTGTTATCTTTATCTTTTACTATTATTATTACCTTCATTATCACTGCCAAAATCTGACATCGAGGGGACAAATATTTGTCGTCTGATTCATCTGAAGATATTTCGGCACTAATTGCCTGTGGTTTTTGGGCCTTCTTGAATAATTTGATTTATTTTAAATCAGTATTAAAATGATCGTATTTTGGGAAAGCTGGGGTCGTTGACTCAGATTTACCCTTTTTTAAGTGAAGATTTTACTACTTTTTTAGTAATTTCAGATGGTTTGAGAGTTGGGAGATATAATTTTTTTGGATATGATTCAAGTGCCGATTTTTTATTTTTAGAAATAAATTGTGGTTTAGTTTTTTTTCAATCGTTGTCTTGTTCGTAGTCATATTCATAAAGGTGGTAAAAATTGACAGACTTGCGAACGAATGACTAATGATATTCGTATTTAAATCATCTTATTTCTTTTTTGATATTCTAAAGGTTATTTTTGTCAAGGGCAACCCATGATAATTTTGGTTGTCAACTGGAGCACTGTCTTCATTCTGTTTATTGAACGAATTGGATGGCGCATAAGGCATGGTGGATAAAGATACAGATATTATCGATAGTCTAGAGAATGAAAAAAAATAAAAATAGAATGCAATTTATTAGGTGTATCCGAAAAATAATTTTGGTAATAAATGCGTCTATTCAGTTATTGTAAAAAAAGAAGAAAAATATAAAGGAAGTTTTAATTAAAATTTATGAATGTGAATGATAATTAAATATAAAAAAAACCCGCATTTTAAAGTATAAAGTCCACGTTAGGAATTTATAAACAATAAAAAGAGAAAGATTCTATCTTCATACAATATTTTTGATATATAAGTGAATACTCACTTAAAATGAGATTCACTATATTATAATAATAATAATAATTATTATTATTGTCCGAAGCGTAGCGAGGACTTACTAAACCATAGCTGCCGCAACAAATTTGGACCGGCAGATCCTCGATTTTGATTGGCTAACAGCCGAGGATCTTCAAAATTTTGGCCCACATTATAAAATTGTTTACTAAATTCCGGCCGGAATTAACTTTTTAATTTTTTATTACAAAAATATAAATTCTTAAAAAATAAGCCCGCATTATGGTAAAATTAACCCAGGAACAATTTTCACTTAATGTGCGGCTATGATTTCGTTAGTAAAATTATGAGTAATTCCGGCCTAATTTTTTTGGTCGTCGCTCTTAGCCAATCAAAATCGAGAATCTGCCGGTCAAATTGTTGCAGCTATGGTTAATGCGTAGTTTGCCACCTATTCTATAGAACATCCTTATTGTTAACTCCGCTTTAGCCGACATCCTTTTAGGAATATTTAAACGTAATAATTATTTAAAAGTTTCTTGTTTAATTTAGGCATTTAGACTTTTGACTAAATTCTTTGAAAGCCTTTCAGATAGCTATCTTGAACTTCTTGATGATGATTATTTTAATGCAGTAATTAATATTGGTGAATCTCCAAATACTAAGATATTCCGGACGCATTCGGCCATTATAAAATCTCGCTCTTTGTATTTTCGCAACGAATTAGCAAATACTAGTAAAGATGAAAATAATATTAAAATAATTAATTTAAAAAATATTTCTATCAAGCATTTTGAAATTATTATTAGGTAAGTTGTATAATATTTATTAATAATCAAATAATATAAACCACATTTAAACTAATAAATTATTTAATTCTATACAAAGATATATTTATGGAGGTGTAGTTTTGTTAGAAGAACTGGATGCATCATTAATCTTCGAGCTGACGCTTATTGCTCATGAATTACTTTTGAAGAACTAACAAAATTCCTTGAATTACATTTAATTGAAGCCAAAGCTTCATGGCTTCGTTTAAATTTTGCTCATATTTACAAAAAAAGCTTTTAACATAATAAATTTTTAAAATTACAAAACTGGTGCAATAATATTGTGGTAAAATACCCATATAAAGTTTTAGATAATGAAAATTTTACCTCTCTTCAAGAAAATGCACTGGTCTCGTTGATCAAGCGTGATGATTTTCAAATGGAAGAAGTAAAAATTTGGAATTATATTATTAAATGGGGAATTGCTCAGGATACTAATTTATCATCCGATCCTAGTAACTGGTCTCAAGAAAATATTTTAACCTTAAAAACCAATTTAAAAAATTGTTTACCTTTTATCCGCTATTTTCAAATGTCAGGCGATGATATTGTTGAGTATGTGCAACCATACCAACGAATTCTTGAAAAAAATCTCTGGGATGACATATTAAAAAGACTCAATACTCCTAATCAAATAATATCAACAACAATTCTTCCTCCCCGTATTATTTTAACGCAGAATCCACCATATAATACAGAACCATTTTCTAAAATTATTAGTGAAGAGCATGCATCTGAAATCGCATCATGGATTGATAGAAAGGCAGATGAATACTCTATAAGAAACAATCCGTATGAATTTAAATTACTTATTCGTGGAAGCAGAGATGGTTTTACTGCTAAATCATTTTAGAATTTGTGTAATAAGCAAACAAATGTTGTAGTGGTAATGAAGGTCAAAGGAACTGATAAATTCTTGGCGGATATAATTCTGTTGGATGGGAAAAACCAACAAGAACAAACGTTTATAAGAATTGCAATAATAGCTTTATTTTTTTATTGAAAAACGATAATATTCAAAATTCCATTTTAAGTCGAGTAACAAATAGAGGGCAAGATAAGGCGATTTCATGTCATTCAACCTATGGTCCAAGTTTTCGTAATGGCCTTTATATGAAACATAATTTTGATAGAGCTAACAGATGTTATTGTTGGTATAATTCCAAATTTGCTTATTATGGACGAATTAGAGATGAATCTTTATATACCCGCAAATGGTTCCATAAATAGTTATAGATCTGAATTTTCAGTAGAGGAATATGAAATATTTCAAATTTGCAAAAAGAACTTGTAGGTTCCAATATAAAAGAGTTTATTCATTTTATGGTTTTTATTTTAGGCATTTATTTTTTTATGCGGATTTAAATCCGGATTTTAACTTTTACTAAGCAAATAATTTCTAGAGTGATTAAAGATTCTTAAAATGCAAATCTATGATTGTCTAAAAAATTCTACTAGTCTATTGATAATTAATTATTATCCTATTAAACATTGTCCGTGGTTTTGAATTTTGAACGAAGACATCTCAATAACTGCTTGGTTAATTTAAAATGTTATCAATTTTCTAATCCTCTGTTAATCTGTAGAACGGAAATAGCTTTGAACTGAAAATAGGAGGCTATTAGTAAGATTCATTCGTTCAAGGTTATAGACGGGTTATAGTTAAAAAAACCAATATCTTTATTGATTGGTCAATCAACCGAAAGACCTAATATAATAATGTATATTATACTAGGGAATCTATGGAAATATTATTATTTTGGGTGCAATTTGTAAAACAATATTTAGAAAATATCACAATTTTTATAACATTACTTATGTAATTACTGTAATGTAGTATAGCCCAGGGTTGGCAATGGACTATGATGAGGTTCTGAATAAATTGTCAATGGATTTTGTCCATTGGGCCAATGGGCATAGTCTATTGGCATTTGTTAAGCCACATTTTGGTCCATTGGCCAACCTAGAGTATAGCATATTCCCTAATTGATGATTGTATATTTGCGAATATACGGACTTCTTCTTTTGTATAGCTTATAAAATTGACAACTGCCTCGTTTCATAGTAAAATTTAAATATTAAAGAAACTCCTCGTAATAGCGAAAAGTATAAATACAAATAAATAAAACTCGTGAACTATTAAACATATGTGTGTGAAATTATATTTACTGAATGTCTTTCTAGAATCTCTATATAATATATGAAATAAAAAAAACTTATACATAACAAATTTAGAATAAAGTTACAGCCAGACCCATTAGTCCGAATAAATTGTGCGATTTTATACCTGTATGTACAAAATATAACATGAGAATTTAACAGATGTCCATAAAGGTGGAATTACCGTACTCAATAATTGAATTTTAATAATTAAATAAATGTATTAATTTTTGTTTCTCAGTTTATCTAATTCAGTTATAGAATAACAACTTATAATTTTTTATAGCAGTTTACGAAGAATTTATTAAATATATCAAATACTAGAATAAATGTGATACTTATTTGGAATTATTATTGATATTTGAAATATAAATTGTTGTTTTAAAAAAAGAAAATTATAAAGCTTTTTTATGAACCTGAAATATTTCACACTCTTCTACCGAAAAATATGAACGATCAAAACGATCATAAGATGATCTACTTCTAATTGGTTTTTCATATACAATACAGGAGGCAAGATACTGACAAAAACATCGTTTATTTTGATCAAAATTATTTTTCATATGAAAATCATCAAAACACGGACCATACCCAGAATAATTATAAATTGCACGTTCTGGTTGTTTAATTACATAGAATTTTGGATGGCCCCATTTTTCAATGAAAAAATAAAGCTATCATTGCAAGACGTATATTTACAGAGTGAACTTGGTCTTTCCCAACCAATAGGATTATATCCACCGAGAATTTCATCAGTTCCTTTGACCTTTATAATAACAACAACGTTTTTTTGCATATCACATAAATTCCAAAATGAATCTGCAGTAAACCCATCTCTGCTCCCACGAAGAAGTAATTTAAATTCGTAAGGATTATTTGCCACAGAATAAGTATCAGTTCTTTTATCAATCCATGAAGCAATTTCTGCTGCATGTGCTTAACTAATAACTGTTGAAAATGGTTCACTTGTTCGTGCTGGAAATTTTTGTGTTAAGATAGTGCGAGGTGGAAGAATTTTCGATAATATCTGCTGATTTGGAGAAGCCAACCGCTTCTTTACATCTTTCCAAAG